GGGGGTGGTGGTCAGTCGGTCGGGCGACGGGAGACCGGCGCAGGCGGCCTTGGGATACGCAGCGCGGGGGAGGCGGGCGTGATTCATGATTCATTCACGAGTTGAGTGAGCCAGTCAGCCAGCAGTCTCATTGTGCAGTGGTTAGTGCTAGTCGAGTCCGCAAGTTGTGCGCGGGTGACAAAAGTACCTACTCGAAGCATAAAGTTACCTGTATTTTTCCAACCAGCTGCAAATCCTACAGGTATTTTTGTCATCAATTTAAGAATTGTAATTCTTTTGTGTTGGTGGCTTTATTATTATAAAATGAAACATTTTTAGGTGCCCTGTTTGAGATGGCTACAAAGAAGAAGCAAAGAAAAACAGAAGACGAAAACCGTGAATTTAAAGTTGAATGTACCTACCTATATAGTTTAAGTTTAAAAAATTTGGCTCTCAAAAGAAATTTCAATCATACTGTTGATATTTGGCTCTGTTGACTAATGAGTTTGCCGACCACTGCCCTAAAACATACCTTTTATTTTCAGCCAGGCTGGCTCCTTCATCCTTCAGCTGCTTGCTTTTCCTGGCACAGCCTTCCAGGAGACTTTCTTTCCTGCGTTTGGTGGCATGAAGCCCGTTCCCTTCATCACTCTCAACTGCATCCTTTTCATCGGCAGCTTCAGCTTCAAACTGCTGGGAAGTGACCTTTGAGACCTTCTCACCAATTTTCCTCTTCCATCCGAAGGAAGCCATTCTGGAGAATCACAAAAAACAGCTTTAAATGTCAAACTTGGCCCTTTATAGACATATTCCAAATAAGTGAAGAAGAAATAAAGGAATAACAGAATCAGAATATCATCATTTTCTTAATTTTTTTTTTTTTTAATTTCAGAGAGGAAGGGAGAGGGAGCAAGAGATAGAAATATCAACGATGAGAGAGTCGCTGACTGGCTGCCTTTTGCATGTCCCACTGGGGACCGAGCCCACAACCCGGACAGGCCCTGACTGGGAATAGAACTGTAACCTCCTGGTTCATGAGTTGATGCTCAACCACTGAGCCACACCGGCTGGGCGACTATCATCATTTCTTAACTCCTAATTAAACAGTGGTCCTCGGAAATAATCATCAAGTAACATCAGGAAAGACAAGTGGACATTATGCATCGCCTGATGGAAGGGACACACCAGCCATGATATATTCTTAACTAAAATTAATCCTAAATCATAACAGCCTATAGTTTATAAAAAACATGGGATCTGGATGAGCATGCACAATAACATGACAAAGATGCAGACGGCAAAAACATAAAAATAAAGCTAGTTTCTTCAAGAAATAAACTGCCAGGGGTGCCCTAACTGGTTTGGCTCAGTGGATAGAGCGTCGGCCTGAAGACTGCAAGGTCCCAGGTTCAATTCCAGTCAAGGGCATGTACCTTGGTTGTAGGCACATCCCCAGTAGGGGGTGTGCAGGAGGCAGCTGATCAATGTTTCTCTCTCATCGATGTTTCTAACTCTCTATCCCTCTCCCTTCTTCTCTATGAAAAATCAATAAAATATATATATTTTTAAAAAACTGCCAGGGGTGAAAGGAGGAGAGAAAGGTGGGAGGTAACCTCTAGATTAAGAGAGACGAAAAGACATACTAACCAAATAGAATTTGTGGATCTTGTTAGCTCTAGGTTCAAACAAGGCAATGGGGAGGAAAAAGGGGAAATCAGAACACTGATTTGTGAAAGGGCGAGGGCTACGCCCTCCATCTTGCCCCAGGGCGAGGGCTACACCCTCCATCTTACCCCGGATCCTCCATTTTTGGGCAGCAGCCTTAGCCATGTGCTCGGCAAGGAGCTTCTTCCTGGAAGCCCAAGCCTCTGCTAGCCACACCTAGGATTGCTTTAAACTAACCAATGATAATCAAGGGAAGTGCGCGCCGTAGATACGACCACATCCTGTGTAACAAGACACCGACTTGCGCCTGGCCAATCGGCAGGGCCCACAGTCCTCTCTCCTCCCCTTACTCCAACCCCCCTATAAAACCCCTCTACCCACAGAGCTCACTCTCTCTGCCGCTTGCCGCTGCATCGGTGAGTGTGGTCGGGGAGCCGAGCTAGCTCGAATAAAGACTCTTTGCTTTTGCATCAGACTCGGCTGGCTCCCTGGTGGTCTATTGGGGATCCTGAAATCTGGGCATAACAATTTGGTATTTGATGACATTAAGAAATAACTAATTATTTTTTAGGTATGATAAATAGTATTATGATTACATTTATTAAAAAACCTTTATCTTTTAGGCATACATAATAAACTATTTCACATGAAATTATAAGTTACCTAGGAACTGTTTCAATGTAGCCAGTGAGGGTAGGGGTGCAGTAGAGGAGAAATACAGATGAAAAGATTGCTGAGCTGACAGTTGAGGAAGTTAGGTGATGAGAACATAAGATCCCTTATACTTTTCTCTCTTTTCATAAATGTTTGAAATTTTCCATAATAAAAAGTTTTTCAAAGATTCATTTGGCAAGTTCACAGTGGGTGAATCAAAAAGATAACAAATGTTAGGTTGTTTTGTAAATCTGCAAGGATATATAAAAATAAAGGATAAGAAAGAATAAAAGGATAATTGATGAAACAAAGTTAAAGGAAAGCCCAGAAGAATTCAACAAATATTTATTTAGAGAAGAGATTTACTGAGGGATCCAAGAAATCTTTACTAATTATATGGATGTGCTTAAAAATAGAGAAACCTCTAAATTTTTCATATCAATTTTTATGTGCCTGTTTGTGTGTGCATTCTTAAAGGAATCTATGACCCCAAAGAGATTATGATCAACTGACTGATCAACTTGAGAGATAGGAAAAGCGATGAACCAGAAGTCTTCATAAAACTATCCAAGAATGGGCATTGTGGGAATAAGAAATGAAATAGTAAGTTCTAGAAGATATCACGGTCTTCACATCTGAGGCACATGGCTAAAGTAAAGTATAAGTAGTCACTAGAAGGAAAGGGACAGAAAAAGTGAGGCCCTTTACATGGAAAGGCCCAAGATATCGGCAGAAATTGAAGGGGTAAGAGAATTGTGTGTTACATGCCTAAGTTCTTAATGAATATGAGTCAGTGCCAATAAGTTATAGCAATCAAGAAATGTGTAGAATCAGGTTTCAGCTATGTTTGCAACAGTTCACAGTTCAATAAATATTGAATGAGTTTAGCAGATTTTTCTTTTTTTTAAAAGAAATGTACAGGTTGATAAGGGTTAACCAAATGCCCGGGTTGCAGGCTCAATCTCCAGTAGGGGGCATGCAGGAGGCAGCCAATCAATTATTTTCTCATCATCATCAATGTTTCTATCTCTCTCTCCCTCTATGAAATCAATAAAAATATATTTTTTATAAAAAAGAAAGAAAGAAGTCTCGTGTGTATGACTGTCTCTAAAGGTGACTAGAATGAGGATGACTTAGTTTTCTGGTTTCAAGTTTCCAAATGCAACTTTGTGAGGCATTCTTTTAATGGGTGGGAACCTTATTAATACTTATGGATATCTGCTGTGGTTACTAAAGGCAAATTACATTATAATTCATTGGTCAGATCTGTAGACTACTGGGAGCAGGGTTTAGGGTGGGAGGAAAGGAAAAAGGGACAGACCTATATGTTTGTTTGTTTTTTTAATTAATTCTTCAGCCCAGCTGGTGTGGCTCAGTGGTGGAGCGTCAACCCATGAACCAAGAGGTCACCAGTTCAATTCCCAGTCAGGGCACATGCCTGGCTTTGTGGGCTCCATCTCCAGTAGGGGGCATGCAGTAGGCAGCCGATCAATGGTGCTTCTCTCTCATCGATGTTTCTCTCTATCCCTCTCCATTCCTCTCTCTAAAAATCAATAAATATATATTTTTTAAAAGTTAATACTTCATTTAGACTCCCATTACCACCCCCCACCCCCATCCTCCTACTGAAGACAGATATAGGTCAAGGCCCCAATGGTGGTTCTCAACCAGGAATAAAGAAGCCACACACCCTGCTGCCTCAGGTGTTTCTGCCATTCTCCTCCATAAATCCTTTAAGATCCCAAGAGACCAGAAGCTAGGGAGGTTAGGACACAATGTGGTTTTAGGCGTATCAACAGCCTGATGACCCCTATCAACTGACAAGTTTAGCCTTGCAGAGGGGGACAAGAATACATTCCTCTCAGACAAAAACTAATATTGAATGAAAAGTTTAGGCAAGTTCAGAAGTAGAGGGAAAAGGAAATGACAAATTTCATACCCCCAAGCTTCACATTTTTTTTCAGAGAAACAGAAGACTGGTCCTCTGCTCCAAGCAAAGGGAAAAGAGATGAACCTGAGCCAGGAGAACAAAAAAGACCTGAAACAGCCACTAGGAAGAACAGACACAGCAACAATAAGGGCTGAGTAAAGACGCCACAAAGCATCAAGGGTGCCCAGAGGTTAAAAAATGCAGATCTCTTACCAACACCGTGGTAAGCTTTGTATTTTCTCCACAATTGTCTGGAGACCCCAAGATAAAGTTAATTACAATACATGATAAGTGCTAGAAGAGAGAAGACAAAGGATGCCATGATGTCAGAGGAGAATAAGAATAGGCAGGCTTAAAAGAAGGGTGAGTCCCAGGGCGGATACAACACACTGTCTGCCTTGGAAAATGTAACCCTCCGAGTTGATTTGGGTATCTTAAAGAGTACGAGTTTCCCGTTCTAAGGCTATCTGAACATTAAATTAAAACTTATTATACAGAAAGCTTTCTTAAATCTGTAGTTACATTTTCCACCAGGATAAAAAACAAAACACATCACATAGTGGGTACATCATAATCAAGTGGGTTTCTGTTAAACTCATGAAACCACATAAATTCATTTTATGCAGAATTATACTTAACTAGAGGCCCAGTGCACAAAATTCATGCACGGTTAGGGTCCTTAGGTCTGGCTGTCAATCAGGGCCAATCTGTGGGGCGACAGGCAGGGCGATTGGGGGGGGGGCGGGGTGGGGGGGGCAGAAGAGGGGCCTTGCTGGCACCCGCCTTGGCTGGCCTGGGGCCTGTGGGCAGCTCCTGTGTTGAGCATCTTCCCCCTGGTGGTCAGTGTGTGTCATAGCGACCAATCTTCCACCTGTCTTCTGCTGGTCGATTTGCATACTAGGCTTTTATTATATAGGATTGATGCCATGAAAATTCTAAACAGCCACGCTGTGTTCCGAGCTCTTTCGCTGGCGCAGGTCCCTGCAGCCGCCCAGGGTTCCCGCGGCGCTGGGCAGAGCCCAGCCCGCACTGGAGAGGCCGGTCCCCCCTCTGTCGGGGATGCGACACCCCAGGCCAGAACCGCGGAGAACACGGGCAGGAAATGGAAACAGACCCTTCCAGTACCGGGATGCACCCGGCGATGAGGCGGTCCAGAAACCAGGTGCCCGAAAATGTCACCGCGAGGCTGAAACCGGCATTAGCGGCTTCCCTTCGTTCTTCACCATTTAAATGTGAGAAATTCATCGAAGCTG